CCCCCCCCCCCCCCCCCCTCCCGCTCACAGAAGAGCTCACACACTCTGAACTGAAGCTGGCAATGTTGCATCATTTTTTCTGATTCATAAAGAAATTTTCAGCCATTTTCTCAAGTGCCACTTTTCTGAACTTTTGTATTTGCAGAATCTCACTACATTTATATGTGTTTGCATCGCTGAGTTTTTATCACTGTACGAAACAGAGCGTCTTGTTCAGGAGTTAACGAAGCAGGTAAAATATTAAAAGATAGTCTCGTCAGTCCTTGAAGTTAGAGACTGAGTGGTTCGAACCGACCAAATAAAAAAGGAGCTATTTTTTGCATCCACATACATTTTCGGTTGTTCTGTTTGCGTCGAATTTAGCACCAAAACCTCGCGCTGCGTCCCTGGCGCAGATGATAGTCGTTGCAAATGAAATAGATATTTACATTATACTAGTAATAACCAACTTTTAGCAGTTATTTCCAAATATACGCACATATACATATATATACATATAATTTGTTTGTGCGTGTGTGTTTGCGTGGATGGCTGTGTGTGTGTATGTGTTGGAAGCAAGATGTAAGTAATTTGGCTTTCTGGCACCTGTCGGCAGGCATCAGTTTGCAGGCGATTCGTGATGGGTCATTGAGGGCTTGATCTTTCGCTGTAGAAGGGAACCGAAGAATGGCCGTCGCATACTGTTATGTCAAATTTACCAGGTTTCATTGGTTTAATTAGCATGAAATGTGCTTGCAGAACATTGACACCCACAACATTGTTGTAAATCAGGTGCTATATCCAGACGCCGAAGAAAATGGCACTATAAAATGCAAGAAATGTGCAGCTAGGCATAAGAAGCAACAGGGCTATTTGGAACAGGTACGTAACATAGTGCTCACTGCTCCTGTAAATGAAATAAATTTACGAAATATGCCATTCTTTGAAAGAATGCAGCATAAAATTTTCGGCAAGTTTGACAATTAAAAAATTTTGAGGAGAAGGTTTTGATTGTTTAAAAACTCGTTTAATGGCATTCTTTGATAAGAATTTTAATACTTCTGTTTTTTAGACTAGTCGAACTCAAACTGTTTTA